TGTGTGATGAAAGTCTCTTATGCTCGCCAAGGCTGCATTTACTTCATAAAAAAAAACAAAAAAAACCCGGATTTCTAGTTATTTCTAATAACTGATTTCTTTAATATATTTTGAAATGTAATGTATTCCTGTAATGTTAAAGCTGAATGTTCAGCATCATTACTCCAGTCGTCATGATCCTTTAGAATTCATTCTAATTGCAGCTCAAGAAACATTTCTTATTATAATCAATGTTAAAAAAAATTTAACATTAAAAAAATGTGTTTGATGTCACTTTTGATCAGTTTAACCGGTAACACTTTATTTTAGGGTTTCTTAGCTAGTTTCTTATTAGCATGCATATTACTAGAATATTAGCCATTTATTAGTACTAATTAAGTACATATTAATGCCTTATTCTACATGACCTTATTCTACATCCGTAATCGTACCCAATACCTAAACTTAACAACTACCTTACTAATTATTAATAAGCAGCAAATTAGGAGTTTATTGAGGGAAAAGTCGTAGTTAATAGTGAATAAGTGTTCCCTATTCTAAAGTGTTACCATTTAATCCATCCTTATTGAATAAAAGTAATAATAATAATAATAAAAACTTACTAACCTCAAACTTTTGAACGGTAGTATACATATCATCACTTAATGACAGAGCTTATGGTAAGTCTCTCTTGAAAGACTATGTAGAAAATGAATGGGAAAAAGACTTAGGGAACTTGACTGTTGCAAAAGAGTACAATGACACTGGAACGCAGAGGTTATCCAATCACAATAGAGATTGTTTACATACAGAAGTCTTAATGTTACAGCAGCAAAAACTGCATTTTTTTAATTCTTAGGGTCAGTAAGTGGGGTATAATATTCATGAATAACTGAATTACAGCTATTTTTGTGCTATAAACCTTGACTAATATTATAAGTGAAGATAAACATATAGAATAGTGTGAAATATGTCCCTAATACATTGTACCTGCTATTCTAGCCATCAAAAAGGAGAATCAACATATATAGTCCATTAGTTCAGTTGCTTTCTTTGTTCAACAATACAGTATGAGGGAGGCATGTAGCAGTTCTCCAATAAAATCAGCATTCAGTTATGTTTACTTGGCCTTTGTCTTGTGTGCAACGTAGAAACAACAGCCTGAAAAGACACATCTCTCTTCCAAACCCAAAAAGAGACCAGTATTTCCACACAACTCTCTCCAGAGATGAGTCTACAACAACAAAATATATCCAGTGTGAATATTCACACTTCTATTTATTAATTACTTTCAAGAACTTAGGATGAACTGTAACATTGAGTCGTTTGAAACTGCTTTATAGTCAAAGTATACAATATCTTCTGAACTCATTGCCCATCCAGTAAAGGAAACCATCTGTGAAGCTCTTTTGATGGAGCTGAAGTGTGGGCTGTCCTCTGAAGCTCTTGTGTTCGCTGCGCTACCACCACTGCATATGCTGACATCTTTACAACATAATTTGATAAAATGTCACTAAAGGGACAGACACTAAAAGACTCTTCCTGTAATTATCGAGAGGATTGTCTTCTTGTGGCTAGTGGGGTCTGTTTGAGATTTGTGCAGTATGGGAAATGCTCATGATAGAAACGTGTATTTGCATGGCAGAAGTCACAGCAGATGTGTGCTAGTGGGACACACAAGACTCAGGCTTACATTTGTCAGCATCTGATTCCAATTGTACTGTTAGACTGTGACTAAACTAGGCACATCATGATAAGCGATAAATCACATCTCTTCCATGTTAATCCGAGTTTTTGTTTGTTAACAGTTTGCATAAAAACATTCTGACAGTCAATTTGTATAGTCTCAGGCTCAAACAGCATAGCCAATGGTCATTTGGAGTTCTGTTTTATCAGCCCATATGGAAAGTCATGTTTTTACCAAGGTTTGCATGGTTCATAACCATGTTTTGTTTGAGATACTTAAGAGAATGTCAATAACATCAGTTGTAAGTATAGTCTGTTATTTTCAATTCAAGAATTTTCTGCTTTTATTAGGATTTTTGGCAGGTTTCAGATTGGCTGATTCCCAAATTGTAAAAAGTGGGTCAGTCGTTAACATTTAGACACAGATGTGATTCAGTGTGATTCAATCTAGTCATTTTAATTGCAAAACGTGTGATTGGAAATTTCATGTGAGGAAGAAAAGATTTCCCATTTTTTTATATTTCCCTATGCAGAGTTTGCAACCCTTTCAAATTGATCATGCAGATTAAGCACATTGACCAGCAGAAAGCTGTCAGGGTTCTGGACTATCTGTGTGTGTTTTGCTCCCCGTGACCCAGTTTTTCCTCATGTTAATTGTGTTAATTTGTTTCCAGCTGTGTCTATTTTGTCCCTCGTTATCCAGTGTTTAAAAGTCCTAGTCTGTTCAGTTTGTGTTTGTCAGGTCTACTCGTTCTCTACGTGTGTTGGTTCAAGCTCCTATTGTGGATTATCTCCTGTGTTTCATGATTAAAGACTATTAAACGTTTCCTCGTGACTCCAGCGTGTTCCCTCAACAGCGTAACGTGACAGAAGACCTGACTAAAACAGTAACCTCTGTGTGTCCGTTTTGTTTCCCGTTTTTACCCAGCGTCTTTTTTTTTCGTTGTTCCCTCATGGATGCCCTCCTTCGCCCGGAATATCTCCTCCTCCTGCTGGAGCAGGGGGAGAGATTGCTCGAGGACCATACGAGACTGTTCCAGCTGCTAGCGAAGACCACCAGCTACCCGGATGATGCGCTCTGTGCGTTCTACGACGCAAGTTTAAACACCGCGTGCAGAGCGCTGTCATCCGAAGATGGTCCTTGAGTGGACTTAACCGCGTTTGTGGAGCGGATTCTGGTGAGAAACAGATCACCTCTCATCGTCACTCCCGAGACTGCTGTCGTCTGGCAGTCCCTCTGCTCGCCCTCAGCCCACCATCATTACGGTGCGAGTGCCGCGGGTCTGCCATCCTCCAGCTGGAGAATCCCTCACCTCCGCCTCAGACCACCAGCTACCCGGATGATGCGCTCTGTGCGTTCTACGACGCAAGTTTAAACACCGCGTGCAGAGCGCTGTCATCCGAAGATGGTCCTTGAGTGGACTTAACCGCGTTTGTGGAGCGGATTCTGGTGAGAAACAGATCACCTCTCATCGTCACTCCCGAGGATGATCTCGCCAGATCCACTCCGGACCCAGAGCCCAGCCCACCATCTCCCCGCTAAAGCCCGAACCCACCGATGACGGAGAGCAAATTCCCGTCGCGATCTACGAGCCAGCGCAATGCCGAGAGACTGAGCAGAGGATCGCCCCGGACGTAGAGCTCAACTCGTCAGACCAGGTGCGAGAGCCGGCGACAATGCCTGCCAGGAGGGAGAAAGCCGCGCCGTCCCACCGGCTCTATTGGGCTCCTTCCTCCCGCCAGCTCCACCAGGGTCCTCAGTCGCTCCGGCTCCGCAGCTGATGGAGAGCTCTCCAGGATCTCCGCCTCCGCCGCCAGAGCCCTCGGCTCCACCCTGGCCCCCCGGATCCTCGGCATCCCCCTGGCTCATTGGCTCTTCATCTCCGCCTTGGGCTCCTCCGCCACCTGCTCCGCCGCCGTTGGTCGGCCCACTGGAGTCGGCGGCCATTCCTCCTCCATGGCTCCTCCCTCCGTCGGCTCCACCGTGGGTCGACATTATGGCTGTGGCCTGGGTCCAGCTGGGCTCCTCCTGCTCCAAGCCCCTCCTGTCTCCTCCCTGGCTCCTCCCTCCATTGTCTCCTCTCTGGACTCTGTCCACCGGCCCCCGCCCAGACATCCGTCCTCCTTCTGAGCCTCCTCCTTAGTTCCCATATATTTCCCCCCCTCTGTTGGTCTACGGTGCGAGGACACACCTTCCGGAAGGGGCGCGATATGTCAGGGTTCTGGACTATCTGCGTGTGTTTTGCTCCCCGTGACCCAGTTTTTCCTCGTGTTAATTGTGTTAATTTGTTTCCAGCTGTGTCTATTTTGTCCCTCGTTATCCAGTGTTTAAAAGTCCTAGTCTGTTCAGTTTGTGTTTGTCAGGTCTACTCGTTCTCTATGTGTGTTGGCTCAAACTCCTATTGTGGATTATCTCCTGTGTTTCATGATTAAAGTCTGTTAAACGTTTCCTCGTGACTCCAACGTCCAACGTGTTCCCTCAACAGCGTAACGTGACAAAAGCTGCTTGATTTGAAAGTGATTTCTTTGAACTGTGCTTCATCCATCGCTACACAATTGACTAGTAATACAACAAAAGTTTGGTAACCGATAATATTTGGCCACAAATCAGTTTTTTGTAAGGTTAAAATCATTAAGTGAAGTTTAATGAATGCTTCTCAGTGATTGTTAGTTATTTTGCAAAATACATGAACTATATTAGGTATTCATTATATTTTTATTTATCCTATCGTCTTTATCATTTAATGTATATTTGAATAAATCTGTCATGAAAACAAGTCTTCATTACAACCACTGTTTAAATGTTATACATGTATATTTTGTTTATTTTAACAACAAAGTGAAAACATAAAAGTTGAAACAAATATATAATTAAAAAGTTAATATAAAAACTGCATTATGTGCAATTGAAATAACTTTTTACGATTTGTTATTTGAGTGTTGTTTGTTAAATAAATTTGAATACTTAATTGACTATTAAACAAACTTATTTTTCCATTTTCAGATAAATTAAAACTTTAATTTCAGTTTCGGTGTTTCTGTAAAAATTAATTTCGGTGCATCACTACTATTGACAATAGACAATGTAAAGTTTTGAAGATCCTTTTTTAAACCTGTTTAATGGATGTGCTGCTGTGCCACTGAGACCTGCTGGTACTGCACACATTGTCTGAGAAACTGTTTATTTGATTGTTTTTGGATGGATCTAACTGAATGATTCAATCTGGTGGAGTGGTTTAGATAAGAATGATGTGGATTAGTCTGACTGGCAGTGGAGGACTGCCTTGACTAGGTCTGGTTTGGATGAATCTGATCAGATGCGGCTGTTATCTCACCTGTGCCACCTCCTCAAAGTCATCGTGGCGTTTCTGCAGGGCTCTGGCTCTGTGCAGGGATTTTCCCACACCTGTATGTTTACTGAGGAAAGCCTCTCCATGATTCTCTATCCAGTCAATAACCTGCAACATACAAACACACACAATCCATTCAGAGCATCGGGGAAAAAAACACAACACAGAGCTGAAAGAGAGTCAAGTGAGCTTCTGTTTTCATTAGTCTATTTAATTGATGTGACACATAGAAAGGCAGTTATTTAGGAAAACACACACACAGGCTAATGCTCAGTGCCTGTGACTGCTCGTATACTCTCATGGGCATATGAAGAGGGAGCGATCAATCAGCATTGGTCTTCTTTCCAAAAGTGATTCAAAGACACTTTATCTTTATCCCTAAGGACAGTGTTTTACCAATAACATTCCTCCAACAACATCCTCTGATTAGACTGACAGAAATGTCACTCAGACAACAAAATCAACATGTAGAGCTCCAGTACTGCTGCCACTCTCAAACTAAACACTGAGAAAAGGTTGAAAATATATAATCAAAGAACAAACTGTTTATTTTCAATGTATTTGTGTATATATATTTATATGCACATAAAAAGAAGACTTAATGGAGTTGTCAGTTTAGATTCATTTACATGTCAACTTTGTCTTTTATATTTCTCCTAAATTTCCTTAAGGTACAGTAACTTGGAGGGGTGAGGTATCTAAGTCACAATATCTAGCTACTGGGGTGCCCCAGGGCTCAGTTCTTGGACCACTTCTCTTCTCTATCTACATGGCATCACTCGGTTCTGTCGTTCAGAAACATGGCTTTTCATATCATTGCTATGCTAATGACACTTAACTCTACCTCTCATTTCATCCTGATGATCTGACGATAGCTGCTCGCATCTCAGCATGTCTAACAGACATTTCTTGCTGGATGCTTATACAACATTAGGAAGATAAGGCCCTTTCTATCAACTCTTTGTTCAAGCTCTTATTCTGTCCAGGCTAGACTATTGCAATGCTCTCTTGGCAAGTCTTCCAGCCCGTTCTATCAACAAATTCAGAATGCAGCTTACTACCCTTACTACATGTACTTGTCACAGCACTTATATTGTTGCTCTTTTGTTAAATATAAATATTGAAATGAAAGCATAAAATAAAGTTAATTACTGAAACCAATATGTCCCTATAGTTTAATTTATTTAATTTTAGAAACTACCACAAAGCATCTGACCACTTTTTTCCAGTTACAATCATGGTATCTGTGGTTCTTCTACTACACTTGCATGTTTGCAAGTGATACAATGATAATCAAACATGTACACAATAGCGTCAATTAGTTCTTGTTTCAGCTACATTGATTAAAGCATCTAGTGCATGTTCTAAAACCAGCTTCCTTCTTTCACAGGCATATTAACAGAGGCTGATGAGATAAATATAGCCCTGCGTGACGAGTCCATAACAGGATATGGCTGTTCAAGGCAACGGTCTGGAGTTCACAGATGGCACCCATTACATCAATCAGTCCAAACACGTGTTTGGCCAAATAAATCAACTTATAATTCAATAACAATCAGGCATTTGTGTTCGACTATCAGTCATTGTGACTTGCAAGATGGCTGACTCCAGAAATCGGTGCTGTCTTCATTGAACTATTGGTTATGTTTGTAATGGCTGTTTACATAAAGCAAATCAAAATTATGATAATAATCAAGTACAAGAAATAATCAAGGAAAAGACATAATAAACTGAACAGACTGGAGTATTTAGTAAACATTCAGAACTTATACAATTTCTCCTGTTTTAGGGGGCAATGACAAATAAGGATGTCCAAGATGATGATAAGGAAAAAGCTTTGTAAAAAATTGCTTTAAAATTATGGGAGCTTATTTACACAACATAGAACAGGTAGTTGCAACATTTTATCTCTTCTGGCTGAATTCTGACTTTTTTCTCACAATTGCAAGTGCATATCTTACAATCAGTGTTGGGGGTAACGCATTACAAGTAACGCGAGTTACGTAATCAGATTACTTTTTTTCAAGTAACTAGTAAAGTAACGCATTACTTTTTAATTTACAAGAGAATATCTGAGTTACTTTTTTTTTTCAAATGTATTGATTGACAGTTCTCCTGTCCCCATGTTGAGAGAAATCAGAAGATGTTACTGTAGTTCTAAAATAGATATGAATATGCATTAATTCATCTCACGCCTTGCCTTGCCTTGCCTTGTCTGTTTTCTCGGTTTCTGATCTTCGCCTGTTTTCCTGGATTTATCCCTCTAGTCTTGCCCCTTTTGATTCTGTTCGCCGTTCGTTGACCTTCACTAGCCCTAGGATTATTCTTGTGTCTTGCCCGCCATATACCTGTTTTGCCATTGGTCGACCCTGCCTGTGTTTCTGATCTCTCTGCTTAATAAAGCTTGCACATGGATCCGCACGTCTCACGTCTTGTCAGCCCCGTAACAAATATTGTAATGCATTACTTTTAAAAGTAACTTTCCCCAATGCTGCTTACAATTCCCACTTTTTCTCTCTCACAGTTCTGAGTTTATATCTCACAATTCTAAGTTATAAACCCGTAATTGGGAATTTACATTTCACAGTTCTGACTTCTTTCTCAAGAGTTGCGGGTTTATGTCTCACAGTTGCAAGTTTGCACCCCACAATTTTGACATTTTTCTCAGAATTCTGACATCTTGCAGTTCTGTTATATGTGACCCTGGACCACAAAATGATTTATACATCATCTGAAAGTTGAATGAATAAGCTTTCCATTGATGTAATTTTGACCCATGCAATGTATTGTTGGCTATTGCTACAAATATTCCCCAGAGACTTAAGACTGCTTTTGTGCTCCAGGGTCACATATATGGGAATTCTTTTTTCTCAGAATTGTAAGGGGGAAAAAAAGTCAGATTTGTAAGACGTAAACTTAGAATTGTCAGATAAAAGTCACAATTACCTTTTTAATTTTTCATTTCATGTTAGAAACAAGCTTCCATATAAAATGCATGTGTCAAGTTCTTTAAAAAAAATTATTAGATTAATATTGATTTAATGACTATAAACTATCAAATTGGTTTAAATATCAAGGATAAATTATGATTTTTTTTAAATGACCTACAATCATAATGACAATAAAAAAAATAAGGTCACACTTTATTTTAAGGTCCAATTATCACTATTAACAGACAATTAACTATGAATTTGCCTCAATAAACTTATTAACTTATTAGCTGCTTATTAAAAGTTAGTAAAGTAGTTGATAAGTTTAGGTATTGGGTAGGATTAGGGATATACAGTAGAAATGGTCATGCATAATAAGGCAATAATATGTGCTTTATAAGTACTAATAAACAGCCAATATGCTAGAAATATGCAAGCTAATGAGCAACAAGTTCATAGTGAGAATTGGTCCCTAAAGTGTTACCAAAAGTATATTACATAATAGCAATTTCAGATTAGCAGCAAGACTCTTCAATTTAATGTATAGTTATACCAACCTGACATTTGTAACTAACTAACTAAATAAATAAATAAATAAATAAATCGATCTATTTAGTTGAAACTAAACAGAAGAAGAAGAAGAAAAAGATTAATAGATCGGGCACAAATACCTAATTTACCCTTGGGGTTGCCCTAATAATTGCAATTGAATGTTGTAAATGATGACATTTTCACAAAGAAACTTGTCTGACATATTGGTCTAAAATAAATGTCAAGAAACCATTTTGACCTTTACCAGAAAAACACAGGAAAATTAAAGTATGTGTAAAAAACAGAGACTCTAAGATATATAATGTCAGACTGATACCAATGGAACGGAATCTCATGGGTGTAAAGCAGTCAGTCTCCCACAGTCTGCCCTGCTATGACTCACAACCCTCTTTTACTCCAGTTATCATGGTTTCCCAGGTAACCGAGTCAAGAGCACTTGTGTGTTCTGCTGATAACCTCATGACTCACTACTAACCACAACCAATTCACCACTAACCCCAGAAAGAAGCAGAGAAAACACAGAAGAACCGCTCTGATCTTATCAAAACGGGCATCTGACTGCCTCAGACTGAGGCACAGATCATAGAAAGAGCTCTAGGGAACAGTGTGTTGAATGCACAAGAGTGTTTTTAAAGAAACAGCTCATCCAGAAATGAGCATTCCTCTTAAAAGAATTTAAAAACCAATGTTTAGCAGAATGTTGACTCTCAAGCTCTAAAAAAAGAACATTTTCAGGATGCACGTTCTCATTTTTGTGGTGAACTATTCCTTTAACTGCAACTAGTAGCATTTGTACACAAACAGGACTTGTATGTGTATGAGTGTGGGAGGTCTGTTCATTTACTCTAAATAACTCAACCTACTCATTACCTGAATTTAACTGCACACTTCAAGACATTTGGCTACCTCTCCGCCTCCATTACTCAAGAATTGCAAACATTTCAGGGTGAGGCAAACTAACATCACCAAATATGGGTAATACTAACAATCTGTCTCTCAGAAAATATCCAGTATGCTGATATCTCATTCAAATCAATGATCCAGGTTTAACAGAGCCGTATGTTTGTGTTTAAAGTGTTTAGCGTGTTTCACCTGATCAGCGTTTGAAGGGTGAAATCTAACTCTACCTATCACCAATCGACACATATCAGACAAATCTGATGCTTTAACCAATCAGCAGGACAGATCAACTTTAAACCCTCATCGAATACGATAGAAAAATGTAATTATTTCCTTGATAAATCTACAAAGCAGTGGGTGAACAGATGTGAAACACAGTCCATCACCTGGAATACAATACGTTTGATATCATCATTACCAACTGCGTCTGAATGTGTGCAGAAACATGTACAAAAACATGTATATTATCTTATATCCATGGGTTCTGTTGAAATAAAAAGATGGGGTTTTCTAAAGAAGAATAAAAAGCGTTTTTTTATATAAAAACTGAAATCTGCTTTACATCATAAATGTTTTACAATAATGTTTTAAAGAAATATGTGTCAGTAATATTTTTATTATGCAGGAACTGGAAACAATATACTTTAAAATAATATACTTAAGTTCGAAATGAGTTTTGGACACTTAATTGGATGTTCATTGCAATTAAATTAAAATGTATTATAGGTTAAATTTATATTAAATGCAATTAGCTGAATTTTAGAGTGCTTTTTCAACCAACTTAAGTAGGATTTAAGTACATCTTTATACATAATTTCATAATTACTACTATTATCTCTGAAATATGGTTAAAGCGTACTGCCGCATGTACTGACAAGCATTTAACTAAAGATATTTAAAGCCAAATTAACTAAAACATACTTTGTAATTTCTATTGAAATGTGTTTGTCTTGTATTCAAATATATTTGTAATTGCACATTAGTAAAGATGAAGTTGCAGTTTAGTACATTTGAAATATATTTACTTTCAGTACATTACTGAATCAAAATAAGTGCTTCTTTAAAGCACAACAGAAGATTATTTAAACATGATGAAAAAGTAAAACCTTTAATTTAAGATTATTACAAAGTGCATGTTTAAAAGTGTGTTAAGAAACAGTCGTGAAAGTGTGCTCTCTTTAAGTACACTTAAGAATTTTTTTTCCCCCCTCAAATATATGCTTTTAAAATTTTAAGTACACTACAAGTGCATAAAGTTTATCACTCTGGAGTCAGAAGGTTCAGAAGAGAGAATAGAGAGGACTAAAAGCCAACCAATACAGTGCTCATAATGACTGAAACTGATACAGGAGTGCAGTAATGTCCTTTTTACGGTCAGTGTAATGAAGGGTATCATCTGTGCTGCTCTCTGCCCTGCATTTGGCCTGTGGCTGGCCTGAATATGGCCCCTGTTTGGGCTGGGTTTGGCCTCATTGGCTCTTTAGCTCTTTGGTTCTGGTTCAGATCTTGATTTGGCCTGATAAAGCCTGAGCTGAATCCAGGCCCAGAGCTGCCACAGACCCGCTGAAAGAGGCTAATGGAGAGATATTAACTGCTCCCCTGGGCAAATATCCAACACTGAACATAGTCGAAATAAAAATACACACTGTGTATAAAATTGTACAACTCCGAATTCATGGTGAAGTGTTGACAAATTTCCTCATTCACCATTCTGCACTTTAAAATTATGGATGAACTTATGCACATCTAAGAAAAAAAACAAAACAAAAAAACATGAAAACCATTTTTTATTCATTAAAGGAGACTTATTATGCCCCTTTTAAAATATGTAAATCTCAGGTGTCCCCAGTGAGGTATGTCTGTGAAGTTTCAGCTCAAAATACCCCACAGATAATTTATTAGATGATCATTTAGAAAAATTGTTGTTTTCGTGCATGTCTCTTTAAATGTAAATGAGCTGCTGTTCAATGATGGCTGTGCCTTTACAGCTCGTACCTCAGATACTCTGCTAAAAAAAAAAAACATCTGTTTGGTTTTGATTACCATGTCTATCATGCTGAAATCATGCGTTTTAAACCATATACGGTCTTCTGAGCGCACACATCCGAAGCACACAATGTTTGGTGCGGTAGGGGGCCCAACTTCATATTCTTTCATAGGGCCCAAAATTGCTAGCGGCGCCCCTGAATGTGACCGTCCCTTTACACTAAAGGAGGGACTCAAACCCTTTTTCACCCACACGAATGGTGAGGGAGGAATTACACACCGATGTTTAATACTTAGTATGAGTACTAAGTATGAGTAAAAGTGTTGAACAAATCTGGCAAACACTCAAATGAGTGTCATAAACATGTTAGAGTATGTGTGCTCTAGTACATGCTATAAAAATTCACTCTGTCCCCCTTCCTCTTTCCTCTCTGTTTCTCATTTCTGTTCCTCTCTTTATTTATTTTTTGGATGAAGCCAGATGGATGAAGACTCGCATCTCAATCTAACTAATCTCCAAACAAACTAATCACCTCCTCTCACCCTCTTCCTCCATCACAGCAGTCTGAGCGCCAGTCACCAATTTTATCCACCGCTGGCCACACTAGCCATTTGTGGTGTTGTAATCACATCTCAGTGTCTTGAAGCGCGAGTGAGTGTATTATATAAAGTGTTAAAAGGAAATTAAAGTTGGTATATGGTTGAAACAGTGCCTGTTTGGACCTGTATAGAGGGTCTTGTGCTCTTTTCCAAAAACTAGCAAGAATCTAAGACACTTTCTTTTGGCATCATTGCATATATCCTTGAAGGAGAATGCAATCAAAATGCATTGCAACAAGGTCAGGCAAAAGAGTTCATCCAAGATGGCAGACAAGAGAAATTTCTGTTATAAACAGAATTTATTATAGTATAGATTCATTATCAATATAGATAAAAAATAGTTCAAAATAGATAAAATGACCCAATATTTTTACCCATTTGTGTTTTGTGCATTTTTGTGCTTAGAGTACTACATTGTGAGGTTAGCATCATGCTAATGCCAAAGTCTATTGAAATTAACTGTACTGTAAGTCGTGTCTTCTCATGAGGAGCACTCTTTGTGTGATGCCTATGAAGTTGCTGCCTATGAAGAACATTACTTGAGGTTAGAAGGCAGAAAATAGCAAGCCAGTTTACTAGGTTTTGCAACAGAGCCTTCTGTATGTGTATGTGTAATGTTAAAAACACACAAGTTACAAAAACAGTCAGTTATGTCTGTGAAGGTAAACAGCTGGGAAAGAAATTGCGCGTTTTTTTTTTCACGTTTTCTTGGGTTGGTAGATGCACCGGGGACCTGATTATATCATTTAAACACGGGAAAAAGTCAGATTTTCATGATGTGTCACCTTTAAAGTACTGGGGTGGAACCATGGTAAAGTTATGGCATCAGATGGTAATACCATGGTATATTGATACAGTATATCACAGCATTTTACCATATTTACAGTATGTGGCTTAGTGTTTGCTGTACATTGCAATGCAAAACTGCTGTATCTAAGTTCCAAGTTAGTGAGAGAGTCTAGACATATTTGAAAATGTATGTACCTGTTGAACGACAGACTCATGGGGACTCGTGTCATGGTGGGGACCTAAATTGTGGTCCCCACGGGTACAAAAGCTTATAAATCATACAGAATGAAGTTTTTTGAAAATCTAAAAATGCACAAAGTTTCCTGTGAGGGGTAGGTTTAGGGGGTAGGGTTGGTGTAGGGCAATAGAATATACGGTCTGTACAGTAGAAAAACCATTACGCCTATGGAGAGTCCCCACAAAAATTACACTATATAATTACACTATATATATGGATAGCTGACCAGACGTGTGTTTGTGTGTGTGTGTAATTTTCACATATTCAAAGATTGCTTCCTAATACAACGGCATTTTAGTGCCACGGTAAAAAAAAAAACTAAACAAAAATTCTAAGATTATGAGATTAAAGTCATAATATTTTGAGAAAAAAAGTCCAAATTATGAGAATAAAGTCATAGCAATACGAGACTTTATTCTCGTAATTTCGACTTAATTCTCGAAATATTTCAACTTTATTATGGTAAATTTGACTTTATTCTCGAAATATTTTTTTATTTTATTCTTTTAATTTCGACTTTATTTTTTAAATATTACATTTAAATGTAAATAATTTTAAATATTATTTAAAATATATAATCTTGTAATTTTAGATCTTTTTAATGTGGCACTAAAACGTTGTCATTTTCTAAATAAATATAAACAATTAAAATTCAATTAAATTTCAACAGTTCATTTCAATCATCTTTTCGTTACTGAAGGTGTTAGTGCTTAATGAGATAAACATAACTACTAAAGTGATAAACATAACTACCCAAGTACTACTTGTGTTTGTGATCTTAACAACAAAAATTATTTATAAGCATGTAGCTCACTCAAACGCATTGCTCATTGCCATTTGTTGGAAACTGAGATACCAGCAGAAACCCAGTGCATATTTGATTGAGTGAAACTAACCTTAATGTTGTATTGTGTACTGAGCTCAATATGACAACGTGACAGTGAATGATACTATGTTTTAAATGAGATCTACAACAGAACACATTCTCTAATGTCAGATCAATAAACAGAGACATGGGCAAATGATCGAGGACTTGGAAACACAAGGATGAACATTCAATCATGCACAGGACAGTCTGTTTGAGGGGTGGAGGTCTGTGAACTCAAGTAGTACAACAACATCATGGCATTGTTTTCCTGTTGTGTCTTCGGATTAATTAGGGCTGGTTCACTAATTTATTTTAGTTCATACAACATTAGTACAGCTGTAGGCTGATTATGTAACATAAGCACAGAGACTTTCCATCATGACTAAACAGTTTTAGACACGACCGACACCTGAGTGATTGTGGTGTATGTTGATGAAAATACTTAAAATATAACTAAATACTTAAAATAAAACATAAAAATAAATCAAATCTAAAAAAGTATAGCATAGCCAATGATACAATACATTAAAGTTACATATGAAGCAGCTACCGATGTGATGCGATTCCCTATTACGATGCAGTGCGATCCGATTTCGATTCGATTCAACACAATGCGATTTAATGCAATATGATGCAATGGAAAGAAAATGATGCTATGCAATTCAAAATGGTACAGATACTGTAGTTCGCTTTTATTTCTTTGGTTTAGACAGACAGCCATGTTAATCTATATTCTATGTGACTCTCAGTTTAGAGAGGAGAAATCAATCTACTTATAAAATATTGGACACCAAAATTATTGTGTATTTATATTGCATCTACTAATAATTATGTATAAATAAATCATTTTTACCGATGCAAATATGTTAGAAATGATGCATTGCGATACAAATGTCAACTTGTATTCAATGCACATTTTAAATCGATGCATTGCATCGTTAATGCTGATGCACCAACGCAAATAGGTGAATCTTATCTTCTTATATATATATATTAACAAAAATTATATTACATCAATGATATGAAACACCAATTTGAAAGGACAGTTAAAGGGATAGTTCACCCAAAAATGAATATTCTGTCATTAATTACTCACCCTTGTGTCGTTTCAAACCTGTAAGACCTTCGTTCATCTTCGGAACACAATATTTTTGATGAATTCCAAGAGAAAAAAAATCAGAACTCTGACCCTCCCATAGACAGCAAGCATACTACCACAATCAAGGTCCAGAAACATAGCAAGGACATCAGTAAAATAATCCATGTGACATCAGGGGTTCAACCGTAATTTGTACGAGGCTACAAGAATAGCTTTTGTGTGCAAAGAAAACAAAAATAACATAATTTATTCAGCAATTCTTCTCCTCCCTGGCGCCATTTTGGAGAGTATCCACTGAACGTAAACTGTGTATGCTGTTCTGTGTCAGTTGCGCCACGTGGATACGTTGTCTACGCTTTGATCTGAACGAAAACAATGCATCCACGTACATACGTTGTTTAAAAAAAAGCATTCTCGTAAATGCTTCGTAAAATTACGGTTGAACCACTAATGTCAAATGGATTATTTTACTGATGTCCTTTGCTATGTTTCTGGACCTTGATCGTGGTAGTATGCTTGCTGTCTATGGGAGGGTCAGAGAGCTGACGGGATGCATCAAAAAGATATTGTGTTCCGAAGATGAACAGAGGTCTTACAGGTTTGAAACGATACGAGGGTGAGTAATTTTCATTTTTGAGTGAACTATTACTTTAACTGTCCTTTCAAATTGGTGTTGTTTTAAAAGTTGTGCATTGGATACAAGTTGGCATTTGCATCGCAATGCATAATTTCTAACATATTTGCATTGGTAAAAATTTTTTTATTTATATCTAATTATTAGTAGATGCAATATAAATGCACAATCATTTTAATTAATAATTTTTAATTAATGACAGAATTTTCATTTTTGGGTGAACTATCCCTTTAATACAGTGGTGTTTAACTGTATGTTTTTAACCATCAAATTATGAATTTACCAAACTATTTACCAAACTAAATGCTCTTCAAATATAACATATTTTAAAATAAAACTGATTCACTTTTCTCCCAAGAATTCCAATATTTTATTTATTGCAATCTCATTAAAAATTAAAACAGGCAAAAAAAAAAGAGGAATGAATGAATTCTGTTTGTGTCATTCAACATTTTTTTGTCATTTTTTGGCATGTTTTCGAAAAGGAAATCAGATGCTAGGAAGTGCATCTGCTAAACAGCCTAAATTGGGCATAAATTCAAATACAGGATATCGTACAGAGTTGAGTTCTCACCTCTGTATAAGCTTGAGTGACCTGTTCATAAAGCGTCTGATGGTGATGAATGGCCAATTCCAGATCCTGCATCTCTGACGGCAGCCCGCCCTCACTGCACATCTTACACCACGCTTCCACACCAGACAGAAACTGCACAGACACAGGCCATTAGAAACCACTACACCGCTGCCACCATTGTTTTTAACAGCATTTGCATGTTCTGAGAGCTACAGATGATAAATAAGAAATCAGGCACCTGCTCGGATTTCTGATGGAAGACGGCAGACATGGCGAGGATGGTGCTGCGTTCATCGAGAGCGGCGGCGAAGCTCTTCCACTCCTGATCGAGCTGCGTGCCGACCTGTTTGATCTGCTGAGACGCGTAGTGACCCGCCTCCGACAGCCGCGACGCCACCGACATGATGCGGTTTATGTTCACATATGCATTCTGGGAAACAAGAGATCAGACAGCATCGTACCATAAACAAACATTGCAGAAGAGCAAGTCATATAAACTAGTGAGAATCCAACTTTAGAGTATTGAAATAAAGCAATACATCACTGGAGGTTGTGTGTTATAGTGTGCATGTCAGTAAAATGATATTGTCACATATTATTGCAATTTAAAATAACGGTTTTCTATTTGAATATACTTTAAAATTAAATTTATTCCTGCGATCACAGCTGAATTTTCAGCAGCATCATTACTCCAGTCTTCAGTGTCACATGATCCTTCAGAAATCATTCTAAAATGCTGATTTATTATCAATGTTGGAAACAGTTGCAGTGCTTAATATTTATCTGTGATACGCAGGACTCTTTGATCAACAAAAAAGTTAAAAAGAACAGCATTTATTTAAAATAGAAATCTTTTCTAACAGTAAAAGTCTTTACTATCACTTTTTTATCAATTAAACATTAAAAATATTAATTTCTTTCAAAAAAAAAAAAGGAAGAAAGAAATAAGTATGGTTACACTTTTTGTAAGGTGTCCTTGTTACAGTGTAATTATACATTTAAGTACGGAGTAATATTAATTAACTACATGTACTTACTGTATGGTTAGGGTTAGGATTAGGGTTTGTCTTAGGGTTACTTGCATGTAATTATGCATAATTAATTGTTATTATATTAGTAAGTACATGCAATGTGTTACAAGGACACTTTTAAATAAAGCGTTACCAGAAGTTATTTTATGTGTATATTGTTACAAAAGATTTCTATTTTAAATGACAATTCAGCTTTGCATCACAGAAATAAATTGCAATATTTCACAATATTACAGTTTTTTCTGTATTTTTATCAAATAAAAACATAAAAAATATACTGTTTCTTAAACTTTTGAATGACAGTGTGTATATAGCTTCAAACGCCGCTCATCCAATTAGAATTCAGAGTCTGAACCAGCCATTTAAACGTGTTAATCACAAAAGAGCAAGCCTTTCATTTAACCTGATCAGATTAATGACACTGTGAACACAAACGGACTGATATTGGAATCATAGCTTAATGAGGCATAAAACAACAATCATGCTGGGATAAAGAAGAGGAGGATGAATGAGCAGCGTGAGTGTGTTTGTGTCTGAGCTCAGATGATTGGGAGGTTGATTAAAGTGGTGAGAGGAATCCTGGCTAGCTGAGCAGAAGACAGCTCTCTGAACGAGGAGCTTCACGACATACTGTGAGCATCAATCAGGCTGAATAAGCTGCATAAAGACTGGTAGACGACCTTTGCTATAATTGTGGGAAACTGGTTAACTTTGAACAGTGGACCAGCTCAGCCACCCTCCTGAAGGGACAGTTGAATCAAAACTGAATCAAAAATTTACAGTAAAAAACCGGCAGCTGTGGTTGCTGGAATTTAATACACTGATAACCACCAAATGCAGGTGGTGATGAGAAAGTCACATGATGAACCAAAGTCCATCACAAGCAGCTTTTAAATAATACCATATATAGAAGGTGCACAGTGTCATTCACACAAACACTAAACACCATCATTTGTAACAAACATGAAACTTAAATAATGCAATAAACATTCATTTAACAACATTAGGTGTAACACACAAACCTAATATACAAAACAGATAAGAAAAAACTAAGAGGAAACAGTTATTTCAACAAAAAAAACATCAAATTTGAAATTCTGGGAATGTCAATTTACAGTTATTCACTGTAAATTATACATTCTTTTTCACTTCCAAAAATGGTATACTACCGTAAAATTACATGTAATGTCCAATACAGTTTTTCAGTTATTTCAACAAAAAACCATCAAATTTGAAATGTAATGCAGGGAATTCTGGGAATGTCAATTTACAGTTATTCACTGTAAATTATACATTCTTTTTCACTTCCAAAAATGGTATACTACCGTAAAATTACATGTAATGTCCAGTACAGTTTTTCACCGTATATAGTAGGGGAATTTACCGTTAACCATTTAACAGGTGTTTACTGTAGCATTTTTACAGTCTTTTACTGTTAAATTCACGGTCATTTTTTACTTTGGAACACAAATGATGCTATTTTTAATATTCTCTCATCACTTTTGTCCATCCATTGAAATTCCACACAACCAAAAAGCTTTGAAATGTTCATATAAACATTGTAAACGTAGCCCATATGAATCAAACTGTTTAATCCTTCTTTAAGCCTTCCAAGGAGACACAATCACTTTATTTGATAAATAGAATTACTTTAGGGTTTTATTTTTATTCATATATAAACACTGATCAATGCATATACATTTGGTGCTTTTAAGTCGATCAGGGAGGTTTGTATTTATGAGCTGGGAGGTTGAAATTATAGAAAGATTTTTTTAACTCTACATCTACAAAATAATTAATAAAGAATGTGCATTAGGTGTGCTTTTAGCTTTTTTATGTTTTGTTCTTTTTATGAAGTGCTGTAAAAAAAATCTTTATACAACATAATTGTCCAATACTAATATAAGTTGTACATGCAATTTTTTTTTATTATAAAAGCAAAATAAATCTTTAATTTTTAAGAAATTTTTAAGAAACTCTGCATCCATTGTGTCCAACATATTTTCTCACTGACACATCCCCAACTCAGAAACTCATACTTATAATTATGACTTTGTGGTGACGTTCATGTTCATTAAACTCATACGTAACAAGATCTTTCCAACATGACTTGAACGTACCAATAGCTCATCAAGTATATTAAATGATGAGCTTGCTTGATACACGAGAAAAACCTCACTGATTCTTGTATGTCAAGCAAGCACATTAATAAGATGATTGTGTCTCTTCTGAAGATTTGGATTATTCCACTCGTTTCATTTGGATTACTTTTACAGAGTCTTTATGAACTTTTTGAAGCTTGAAAATGTTGGTTGTGTGTCTTTTCAATGCATGGACAAATATGATGAGAAAATATTGATGTTCCAATGAGCGCAAGTCTTACGAGTAAATAAATGATGACAGAATTTAAATTTTTCCGTGAAATATCCCTTCAAATGGTATGAACGACACACTTCTCGTGACAATTCTTAAGTAGTGTATTTTATGATTTAGAGAATTGGCGATTTGGTATAAATGTTCAAATACATATGAAATCGCCAACTCATACAAAACGTATGAATTCTCTGAACTTTAAGTTAAGAAGTAGTGGCATTCAAGACCAGCAAACAAGACTTCCACAAGCATCAGCATGACATACCATGGAGTTCATGGCAAAGTGGTTGTGTTGAGTCTGCAGCTCCACAGCGTGCTGGTAGCTCACGCCGATCTCTGTGTGGCTCTGAAGAAACAATTCCTTATTGTGACTGATCCAGTCAAACATCTACAGAGAGACGAGAACAGAAGGAATCATTACATATAATCCTGCACCATTCCTTTATGAAGTTTACATACCACCACAGTTGGGGGTTTGTTATTAACTTGACAGCATGCATAATTAATCAAACACACAGACTAACACTCGACAGGCTAAGGACAGATAACAGAATGACAAGTGCATTTCGATAAGAGTGTTAATATAGGGAGACATCATTGGATTAACAGCGTTCTGTGTTTTAGTAGGAAACATGAAGGATTATTTTGTACAATCAGCATGGTTTGCTGTATTGTCATGACAGCCCGTCTAATTTAGATTAATCCACGTGTTGATAATGTGCTGCGCTAAAGCACAGATATCAGTTGTAGGACCTTTTAAAGGATTATACTGTCTAGAACATTCGTCTAGCAACATTTCTAACACAATCTGCATCATAAATACCTTTTTGTCAATGTCAGAGTTTGTCATTCCCATCATATAGGCTACACTCTAAAAAATGCTGGGTTGTTTCAACCCAATGTTGGGTCAAATATGGACTAACCCAACTGTTGGGTTAAAAAGTTAATTTAAAAATGTAACCAAAATTTAACCCAACAGTTGGGTTAGTCCATATTTGACCCAACATTGGGTTGAAACAACCCAGCATTTTTTAGAGTGTACATACAGTTGCAAGAAAAAGTATGTGATCCCTTTAGGGTTTACCATTATTATTATTAGTTGTAGTAGTAGTAGTTTTAGCATTATTTTATTTTATTTCTGCCATTAAAGATCAGATCAAATTTTATGACTAATGTTGGAAGAAAATTCTAAATTCTAAAAGCTGACTTCTACAATAGTTCTTCTACCTGGAGCCCAAACAATAAGACAATCAAATTGTATTGCCAATTAATGCACAAATCCATTCTAAATCTTATACTGTTGCAACTGTACATACTTTACACATCAAAGCTTTATGCATTGCATTAATTAATTCATAAGAATGCCTTAATTAATTGATGGAAATGCAACATAATGAATAATAAACAAATATGCAAATACCAAAGTCATTAAAATTCTGTGCACATGTTTCACTGCCATGTCCTCCACTGCTTCTGAGTTACAAACAATGTATCCTCCAATACCGAATAACTGTCCTAAATAAATATTTAATTAGAGCTGCAAATTAATTGCACTTGTAATCAAGATAAGAGCTGAGAGACAGCATAATTGATAATGTAGTTGACTGCCTGCATTCCTATTACATTAAATGGCCGGTTTAATCTAATAGGTCTGGGCTCGTTCTAAGAGAAGTTGGACAGAGGTATTAATTAGCAGAATGACTGCTCGCTCTTGGCCTTTTGACACAAGGAGGCCTGGCACATTGACAGGCAAATGATTTTCAATCGTGTTCACCGGCGACGAGTGAAAGGTTGTGTGTGGGAGATAAAAATAAACGCCTGCGCTCTGAGCGAAATGAAATCATCAACACAAAGCACTTATGAGTACTCAGCATCAGACGGGTCCCTGTGAGCGGCCCCTCCAGCCCTTCACCTTATCTCTGAACGTCTATCTCAAACTCACTGCTCTCATGAAGTGGGTGGAGTTAGTGTGAGGTCACACTTTTAACCATATAAAGCCTACAATTTCACACTCTGCATTATCAACATGATCAGAACTTTGCTGGAAAAACTGTTGCCCACAATCTGCTACATGTCTTCTGTTGTCTGATTGATTAAATTGTTTTAGCAAGAAAAAGGCATTTCAGTATAATTAAAAAATGTCTTGTGGCTGTGAGATCTTTAATGTTTTTTATAAAGTAAATATAAGACCAACTTTTATATTGTTAGTAATATCTCAAGATGAATACTTACTAGACTAAAGCAACTTTTTTATTGAATCTGAGTATAAAATATGATACATCAAGCTTTTAAAGGAATGTTGTACATCTTTCATTCATCACTGTATTGCACTGCATTGTATGTTTTGGCCCCCACAATAAAAACTACAGAGATTTGATCATAAATCTAAGCATTTAAATATCATCTTTTTAAGACATATTAATGGCAGATATAGAGTGACAACTGCTATTTATATCCATTTTATGTAAGTAATCTCTTTTACTGTTATTGATTTTATTTAATTATATCTGTTATTATTATTCAATTATATCGGAATTTTTTGTTAATTTTTGGCCATACTGTATATCAGCAACTCCACCAAATTGCATGTAATATCAAAAACATAAAAACATTTCAATGTTTCTCATATTCAATGTTTGCGTTAAGTCTGACTATTATTATTTAAAGCAAGGCTTTACATGGGTAACCAGAAATACACACAAAGCACTCAAGGCATGATGTGAAGTATGAGTCCGACCTTGAGCGGCTTTTTGCTTTAAAAATAATTTGATACTATACAAAATACCAATGTTAAATAAATTGTTATTGCAGTTTATAATGCACTTTTATGCATTCATCAAAATCCTTTTACAACAAAATCAGACTGGAATTTAGAGTCAGAAATCTGATTTGCCTTTTTTTTCAGGATCAGCCTTTAAAATAAATCAGCAACAAAACCGAGCTTGCATCAAATGTCAGTCTCATTACAAAGACAAGTATACATTTTGTAAACATATTGGTGATCTAAATTCATTGGGAAAAAGAGTGAAATAAACCAGTTTTTGGGACATTTTTGGGGGTAAATTATTCCTTAGCATAACTGTATATTTTTCCAGCTAATCCAATTTTACAACTTGTTATTTATTTATTTAATTACTCACCCACTGAATTACTCGCTCATTTACTTACTCACTCACTGAATTACTCACTTACTTACTTTCTCAATTACTCACACACTGACTGGCTTACACAGTAAACAGCCATAATTTTGTCAACTCATACCAGGTTAAACCAGTGCTCGCTTACCTTCTCTGCGTCTTGTTCAAACAATCGGAGCTGAAAACACTGATCCAGCTTCAGTTTTCTTAGGTGCCACATCTGGTGCAGGTGCTGTCTGGTGCTGTGGAGTTTATCCAGCAGACTGGCGATCTTCGGAACCACACTCTGGAAGTCGGCACTTCCAGAAATACAGTTCCTCCCTGAGAAGCCATCACTGGAGCGGATACACTGCAAGAGTCTCTGGCCCTCGTGGTCCAGCTCTTCCACCGGAGCCTTCATCACCTTCTTCTTCAGCTGAGTGTGCTCATCGATGAGTCTCCGAGAGCCCTCCACGTCCACCGGGAACTCTTTCTTAGCCAGCATCTCCTGCAGATCTTCCAGGCGGGAGAGAAGGTGAACGGCGCTGGCCAGGAACTCCTCGAGAGCGACACGGAGCTCAATCCATTCCTCATGATTATATTCCAGAGATCCCTCAAAGTCATCTGTTAACTGAGATGGGTCCACAAGTTTGGTCAACCCCTCCACAGATACCATGCTTGTCTGTCAGTGAGAAGGTAGAAACAGACATGTCAGTTTAGGGTGAAAGTAAGGACAGCCTGCCTGTTGTTTGATGTGAGCCATAAATGAATTATAACAAGGAAACATGAAGTCTGATATTTTATACAAACTCTCTGTAGTATGTTCACTACAAGAGAGAGAGGATTAGAAGACTAGACAGCCACTCAATAATTGCATTTTTACCTCAAAAGTGAACTTGGCACTGCCAAAGTTGGTCTTCTGTTTCTGCCAGAAGTTGTCGGGTTTGATGATGAGAGCTACGCAGATCTCAGCTGAAAACGCTTCCTGCAGGGTCTTCAGTAACGGCTTTATCAGGTCCCACTTAGAGCCACGCATATCAATGATCACAGTGAAACCCCTCTTACACACGTCCTCACTGAAACAGACAAAGAACGAGAGATTTCCATAAATGTATGCAACAATTATTAAGTAATTATTAGTCTACTAGACTGCTAAATAAAATAAGTATGTAAATTAGTAAATAATTATAACTGGGGAAATGTGAAGATGTTATAGGTATTGGCTGGGGCTGACTTAGTGATTTTGGGGACCTAAGCAAATAACAGGTACGGGGTTTATTTGCCCCTTCACAAATTGTCTATGGGATAGTGTATTATTTTCTTTGCGTTAATTAAAATGATTTAATTTACAACTATTTTAATCATTTAAAACTAAACATTTAATCATTTCATATGTATAATCATATTATTATTTATAATAAAATCTTTGGAATTTACCATGTCCAGAATCAAATCATACAGGTGCATCTCAATAAATTAGAATGTCGTGGAAAAGTTCATTTATTTCAGTAATTCAACTCAAATTGTGAAACTCGTGTTAAATTCAATGCACACAGACTGAAGTAGTTTAAGTCTTTGGTTCTTTTAATTGTGATGATTTTGGCTCACATTTAACAAAAACCCACCAATTAACTATCTCAACAAATTAGAATACTTCATAAGACCAATAAAAAAACATTTTTAGTGAATTGTTGGCCTTCTGGAAAGTATGTTCATTTACTGTACATGTACTCAATACTTGGCAGGGGCTCCTTTTGCTTTAATTACTGCCTCAACTCGGCATGGCATGGAGGTGATCAGTTTGTGGCACTACTAAGGTGGTATGGAAGCCCAGGTTTCTGTGACAGTGGCCTTCAGCTCATCTGCATTTTTTGGTCTCTTGTTTCTCATTTTCCTCTTGACAATACCCCATAGATTCTCTATGGGGTTCAGGTCTGGTGAGTTTGCTGGCCAGTCAAGCACACCAACACCATGGTCATTTAACCAACTTTTGGTGCTTTTGGCAGTGTGGGCAGGTGCCAAATCCTGCTAGAAAATGAAATCAGCATCTTCAAAAAACTGGTCAGCAGAAGGAAGCATGAAGTGCTCCAAAATGTCTTGGTAAACGGGTGCAGTGACGTTGGTTTTCAAAAAACACAATGGACCAACACCAGCAGATGACATTGCACCCCAAATCATCACAGACTGTGGAAACTTAACACTGGACTTCAAGCAACTTGGGCTATGAGCTTCTCCACCCTTCCTCCAGACTCTAGGACCTTGGTTTCCAAATGAAATACAAAACTTGCTCTCATCTGAAAAAAGGACTTTGGACCACTGGGCAACAGTCCAGTTCTTCTTCTCCTTAGCCCAGGTAAGACGCCTCTGACGTTGTCTGTGGTTCAGGAGTAGCTTAACAAGAGGAATACGACAACTGTAGCCAAATTCCTTGACACGTCTGTGTGTGGTGGCTCTTGATGCCTTGACCCCAGCCTCAGTCCATTCCTTGTGAAGTTCACTCAAATTCTTGAATCGATTTTGCTTGACAATCCTCATAAGGCTGCGGTTCTCTCGGTTGGTTGTGCATCTTTTTCTTCCACACCTTTTCCTTCCACTCAACTTTCTGTTAACATACTTGGATACAGCACTCTGTGAACAGCAAAAAATGCTGGGTTGTTTCAACCCAATGTTGGGTCAAATATGGACTAACCCAACTGTTGGGTTAAAAAGTTAATTTAAAAATGTAACCAAAATTTAACCCAACAGTTGGGTTAGTCCATATTTGACCCAACATTGGGTTGAAACAACCCAGCATTTTTTAGAGTGTACATACAGTTGCAAGAAAAAGTATGTGATCCCTTTAGGGTTTACCATTATTATTATTAGTTGTAGTAGTAGTAGTTTTAGCATTATTTTATTTTATTTCTGCCATTAAAGATCAGATCAAATTTTATGACTAATGTTGGAAGAAAATTCTAAATTCTAAAAGCTGACTTCTACAATAGTTCTTCTACCTGGAGCCCAAACAATAAGACAATCAAATTGTATTGCCAATTAATGCACAAATCCATTCTAAATCTTATACTGTTGCAACTGTACATACTTTACACATCAAAGCTTTATGCATTGCATTAATTAATTCATAAGAATGCCTTAATTAATTGATGGAAATGCAACATAATGAATAATAAACAAATATGCAAATACCAAAGTCATTAAAATTCTGTGCACATGTTTCACTGCCATGGCCTCCACTGCTTCTGAGTTACAAACAATGTATCCTCCAATACCGAATAACTGTCCTAAATAAATATTTAATTAGAGCTGCAAATTAATTGCACTTGTAATCAAGATAAGAGCTGAGAGACAGCATAATTGATAATGTAGTTGACTGCCTGCATTCCTATTACATTAAATGGCCGGTTTAATCTAATAGGTCTGGGCTCGTTCTAAGAGAAGTTGGACAGAGGTATTAATTAGCAGAATGACTGCTCGCTCTTGGCCTTTTGACACAAGGAGGCCTGGCACATTGACAGGCAAATGATTTTCAATCGTGTTCACCGGCGACGAGTGAAAGGTTGTGTGTGGGAGATAAAAATAAACGCCTGCGCTCTGAGCGAAATGAAATCATCAACACAAAGCACTTATGAGTACTCAGCATCAGACGGGTCCCTGTGAGCGGCCCCTCCAGCCCTTCACCTTATCTCTGAACGTCTATCTCAAACTCACTGCTCTCATGAAGTGGGTGGAGTTAGTGTGAGGTCACACTTTTAACCCTATAAAGCCTACAATTTCACACTCTGCATTATCAACATGATCAGAACTTTGCTGGAAAAACTGTTGCCCACAATCTGCTACATGTCTTCTGTTGTCTGATTGATTAAATTTTTTTTAGCAAGAAAAAGGCATTTCAGTATAATTAAAAAATGTCTTGTGGCTGTGAGATCTTTAATGCTTTTTATAAAGTAAATATAAGACCAACTTTTATATTGTTAGTAATATCTCAAGATGAATACTTACTAGACTAAAGCAACTTTTTTATTGAATCTAAGTATAAAATATGATACATCAAGCTTTTAAAGGAATGTTGTACATCTTTCATTCATCACTGTATTGCACTGCATTGTATGTTTTGGCCCCCACAATAAAAACTACAGAGATTTGATCATAAATCTAAGCATTTAAATATCATCTTTTTAAGACATATTAATGGCAGATATAGAGTGACAACTGCTATTTATATCCATTTTATGTAAGTAATCTCTTTTACTGTTATTGATTTTATTTAATTATATCTGTTATTATTATTCAATTATATCGGAATTTTTTGTTAATTTTTGGCCATACTGTATATCAGCAACTCCACCAAATTGCATGTAATATCAAAAACATAAAAACATTTCAATGTTTCTAATATTCAATGTTTGCGTTAAGTCTGACTATTATTATTTAAAGCAAGGCTTTACATGGGTAACCAGAAATACACACAAAGCACTCAAGGCATGATGTGAAGTATGAGTCCGACCTTGAGCGGCTTTTTGCTTTAAAAATAATTTGATACTATACAAAATACCAATGTTAAATAAATTGTTATTGCAGTTTATAATGCACTTTTATGCATTCATCAAAATCCTTTTACAACAAAATCAGACTGGAATTTAGAGTCAGAAATCTGATTTGCCTTTTTTTTCAGGATCAGCCTTTAAAATAAATCAGCAACAAAACCGAGCTTGCATCAAATGTCAGTCTCATTACAAAGACAAGTATACATTTTGTAAACATATTGGTGATCTAAATTCATTGGGAAAAAGAGTGAAATAAACCAGTTTTTGGGACATTTTTGGGGGTAAATTATTCCTTAGCATAACTGTATATTTTTCCAGCTAATCCAATTTTACAACTTGTTATTTATTTATTTAATTACTCACCCACTGAATTACTCGCTCATTTACTTACTCACTCACTGAATTACTCACTTACTTACTTTCTCAATTACTCACACACTGACTGGCTTACACAGTAAACAGCCATAATTTTGTCAACTCATACCAGGTTAAACCAGTGCTCGCTTACCTTCTCTGCGTCTTGTTCAAACAATCGGAGCTGAAAACACTGATCCAGCTTCAGTTTTCTTAGGTGCCACATCTGGTGCAGGAGCTGTCTGGTGCTGTGGAGTTTATCCAGCAGACTGGCGATCTTCGGAACCACACTCTGGAAGTCGGCACTTCCAGAAATACAGTTCCTCCCTGAGAAGCCATCACTGGAGCGGATACACTGCAAGAGTCTCTGGCCCTCGTGGTCCAGCTCTTCCACCGGAGCCTTCATCACCTTCTTCTTCAGCTGAGTGTGCTCATCGATGAGTCTCCGAGAGCCCTCCACGTCCACCGGGAACTCTTTCTTAGCCAGCATCTCCTGCAGATCTTCCAGGCGGGAGAGAAGGTGAACGGCGCTGGCCAGGAACTCCTCGAGAGCGACACGGAGCTCAATCCATTCCTCATGATTATATTCCAGAGATCCCTCAAAGTCATCTGTTAACTGAGATGGGTCCACAAGTTTGGTCAACCCCTCCACAGATACCATGCTTGTCTGTCAGTGAGAAGGTAGAAACAGACATGTCAGTTTAGGGTGAAAGTAAGGACAGCCTGCCTGTTGTTTGATGTGAGCCATAAATGAATTATAACAGTCTGCAGTATGTTCACTACAAGAGAGAGGATCAGAGGACTAGACTACTACTCAATAACTGCATTTTTACCTCAAAAGTGAACTTGGCACTGCCAAAGTTGGTCTTCTGTTTCTGCCAGAAGTTGTCGGGTTTGATGATGAGAGCTACGCAGATCTCAGCTGAAAACGCTTCCTGCAGGGTCTTCAGTAACGGCTTTATCAGGTCCCACTTAGAGCCACGCATATCAATGATCACAGTGAAACCCCTCTTACACACGTCCTCACTGAAACCGACAGAGAAGCAGAAATTTCCATAAATTTACCAGAAGGAATGCAACAATTATGAAGTAATTATTAGTCTACTAGAGTACTAAATAAAATAAGCTCATAATTAATTATAAGTGAATAATTATACATAAGAAGTAAATAATTATAACTAGAAAAACACTTGTAAATAATAATAATAACAATAATTATTATTGTTACTGTTGTTGTTATTATTGTAACAGCTGGACATATCAGACACATTATTGTTTGTTATATTTAACAAATAATCCAACACCCCACAACCAACAAGCTAACCATGAGATTCTGTGGGACCCTCTCCCAAATGCCAAACAACCCCAAAAGGGCAGAACAGACTCCTTATTACCACAGCAACCAGATAAACTTCACGAGCTAAATGAGTTGCAACACAATTACATGAGTTTTGATTCTGTCACTGCTTACAAAACACAGTCACTTTAACAAGCCGATCTTGCTACATGCTCTAATGCGTTAGTACTGTAAGAAAGTACAAAGCAAGTACAGGAACTTGCCACTGCAAATACATAAGCCGATACGGTGCTGTGAGTATTTAAGACATAATAATCCAACACCCCACAACCAACAAGCTAACCATGAGATTCTGTGGGACCCTCTCCCAAATGCCAAACAACCCCAAAAGGGCAGAACAGACTCCTTATTACCACAGCAACCAGATAAACTTCACGAGCTAAATGAGTTGCAACACAATTACATGAGTTTTGATTCTGTCACTGCTTACAAAACAAAGTCACTTTAACAAGCCGATCTTGCTACATGCTCTAATGCGTTAGTACTGTAAGAAAGTACAAAGCAAGTACAGGAACTTGCTACTGCAAATACATAAGCCGATACGGTGCTGTGAGTATTTAAGACATACTGCTGCTGCACAAATAGCATATAAAATAACCCCATAGCAGATCTATACAGGTGGAGCTGGGGAAGGTGGAGGGTTTCAGAGGAACTCTGAAAGCGCGCTGCAAAATGCTCTAGTGAACGCTAACCAGCCATTTAAAAGTAAAGCAGTAAGCTCGTTAGCTGTGTGTGAAACATGAACCTATCAGCCTGTGCCATCTAGAGTTTCATGACAGAACTTGGCATTTCTAGAGGTGTTATGAAATTACACTGAATGTTCACTGGACAAACAGATTAGTTGAGTGTAATATTAATTCTGCTACAGTTACTTCTGGCAGCTGCTATAAATAAATGTAATTCATTATAATTGGTTGTGATTATTAAAAATACATTTCCAGTTTGAGCTAACACTGCACGAAAAGGGTCAAATCTGGTAATATCTGGCCATGTTAAACTGCAGTGTAATTTCAGGTTTGCCAGATGTATGTGGAAATTACCTGAGCCAAGTTACACAGAACAGTAAATTTCCAGAAATACCCACATACTCTGGTGTACACGGACATATACAGGAATCTGTGAAGTTTCATGGACATATACAGCTGAAACTGCTGGTTGTGAGGATTGGTGGCTGTCAGACTTTTCATATGTTAATGAGCAGCAGTTAAGGTGCTTACTGTGTTCCCAGGTGGAGGGAGGGGGTGAGCCAGGGAAGTTTCACAAAACAGCCTCAAAATAGTCTTAATAATATTGAACTCAAACATAGCTAGTCTTATTATTTTTGACAGAGGCATTAGAGAACATATCTATGTATGTTGTACGATTTTTAGATACTGTCTAATAGTTATGTTTAGTCAAGTCTAGCAAAGAGTATTTATATAATTATAATTATAAATTGCATATAGACAAGCAATACTTTCAAAATATATCTCCCCTGATAAATATTTTATATAAAAAGTGTGTCAGATAGCCCTGGTCTCCTATATATCCAACTCTTCGTAAATGATCCTCTCCCACCACCACAAACACACACACAAACACCCCACCCCCTGCTACGAAGACTTTTGTGTTTGACCTGATCTCAAGTCACACTTCTTGAAGACACCAACAGCTACAGACTGAAACATTTGTAAGCTTGCACAGTTCTGGGAAGAATCCACTTCAACATCATACACAAACCTGGTAAGACTGATTACTTATATTGTGTAAAACTGACTGGTAAAAAATGTATAGCCTGAATGCAGTGTAAGCGTCTGCTAAATGCGTAAATTAAATTAATTTAAAAAATAATAATTATTAATTAATTAATTAAAACTAATATCTTAACTAATATCTTTGACTTTGTAACGTGGCGAACAAGACGAGAGACGTGCGGATCCATACGCATAGCTTTATTCAGAGACATGGTCAGAAGCAGGCAGGGTCAAAACATCAGCAAACAGGTATGGCACAGACGAGACATGAGCAATCCAAAACGGGCGTGAGTCAGTCGACAGCGAACGTTATCCAGAGGGCTTGACAAGAGGGGCAATCTAGAAACACGAGCAATAGTCCAGGCGAGGTACAAACAGAGTCTGAATGAAGAGACAAGGGTTAATCCAAGAAACACAGGCAAGAATCAGAATACGAGAAAACAGGCAGGGTAAGACTATGTCTAGACTATGAAAACTAGAAACTGGCTCCGTAGAGTAGCTATCGCTAGGAGAATGATAAACGCTATACAATACTCAGCAGTGAGAGAGAGGAAGTCCATGGCTTATGTAGGGTGTGTGATTGGTTACAGCTGTGGGTGTAATCAGTGCAATGGATGATGGGAAATGTAGTCCAGGGTATAGTGTAACAGTCTGTGTAGTGTGAGAGTCCATGTGGTGAGCGGGTGACCTCTGGTGGTGAGTTCATAGAAGTTCATAGACCAGATTCGTGACAGACTTGATGGCAAAACTATATTTATACTTTAATTTTTCTCAGATAATGTTTCCTCTTTTCTACAGTATCCTACACACAATACATATTTTAAATGGTAACATATGTTCAGAAGGTTGTTGCAATGTTTTACTATCAATTTTTGTATTGTTTCACCTATCCAATTAAATATTTTTCCTTTACTAAACATATTTTATTTTTTTAAGTATCCTGCAAGACTTATGATGAGACTATGAGGAAGAAGTCTTTATAGTTTCACTCCGGAAAGGCCCAGCTGAAACACTCAATCACAGCTGTGGCTAAAATGCCAAAGAGAGACAGCAAGTTTAGAAATTGACATGATGTTAAGTTCTTAAATAGGCTATTAGCCTGTAGTGATTATTGTCAGCATTACTGTTGTTTTGCAGTTGCTGGTCAACAGGGATAAACACAGAAAGAGCATTGTGGAGGACAGAAATGGTGGAGCTCAATGTAAGATGAGGAAGATACTGTTGTTGATGTGGATGCACACAGGATCTACAGTGAGGAATGGAGTCTGCTGGGACACATCATTTCATGAGTTGTTTACTGCATTTGTTTGAAATCTTCATTCAAAGTAGATGTTGTATTTTTAAATGTTGTCTTTTGTTGAAATTGTTTTCTGACTGTTTATATGTTTTGGATGCTATTTTCCCATAATAAACAAACAAAACAATTGTTGGTTAAATTATATTTTGTATATCTGCCCCATGGTCTGCAACAGTGTTGGGCAAGTGATTTAGTAATTTAATTACATTTTCAGATTACTCCTTTTAAAAGTAATCACGTTACTATTTCAAAAGTAATTAGTTACATTACTAGTTACGTTACTTTTTTCTGTGGCTACATCCATGAATTTCATTTACATGAAGTTATAACACAATTAATATATGCATAATGAATCTTTCATAATGGCTACAATTTGTGTGTTATAATGAGAGGATTCATGAGCATGCACATTTCAGCACTGCACTCCTGACTGGCCATTGCGTTCCAGAAATCAACATTGCTCAACGCAGCTAACACGTGTTATAGCCTAAATAGAAACTCTGCCTACGCTCGCGCCTGTTTATCAGTTTTTATTTTATATTAGTTATTGTTGCTTTTGTGCAATAGATGAATAACACTTTATTTGTTTTAGATATTTTATGTTTAGATATTTCTATTTTGCGGGAGTCCCGTGAATCACTTTATTCTCCCGCATCCCGCACACACACGAGTGTCTACCGCCCGCACCCGCACTCGCCCATCTTGTCCCGCGCCGCACTGTTGCCACTGGCACTGGACTCGACAGTGCGTGTGCTACACCCTTTTTACAATCTAGATTATAAAACACATGCATTCTGTCAGCAATGTAACGCGGCAGTAACATATAGAGACATTGGCTTGTAACTATACTCTATTACTATTTTGAAAATTATAACACGTTAAATTACTCTGTTACTAAAAAAGTAATCAAATTACAGTAACGTGTTACTAAGTAATGCGTTACTGCCCAACACTGGTCTGCAACCAATCACATCATTCACCTGTAGTGTTTGTGGGAGGGAAATATTTTAAATTTAACCAATCACATCATTCACCTGTAAAGGTCAACCGCAAATATGACGTCATCGCGGTGTTGGCGGAAGTTCGCTTTGAGTGCGCGAGAACTCATTTCGCATGGCGGTGTGCACGGCATTTTTTGTAACTTTCCGCACAGCTCCGTTTCCGAAGATGCACGAGTTCAAGGCGACTCTGGCCGAACATGCAGGTCTGTGCCGGCATTTGTGTGAAACAGAAGCAAATTGATGTGAAGTTCAAACTCCATCAGGTGTTTTGAGAGAAAACAATGCATAGTTTTTTTGCATAGTTTGTCCAAGGCTTTTTAATTGAAGTACGTTTTATTTTTATTGCATAAAAATAGAATAAGAATTCATTTAGATACTATTTATACACTATTTGCTTAAAGTTGTCTTGTGTTTGATGTGAAATAAACCCAAAAGCTTAAGATCAGTTTGTATATAAAGAAATTATTAATTCATCAACTCATTCATCACGCGATAAGTCTTGTACCGGCATTAATTATTGCCGGTGATTCCCGATGGTTTAGAGGACAATTACTCCTCGTCGCCCCCTGTCATTTTAAAGAATAGCACAACAGCGAACGCCTCGTCCATTTGGGAAGGTGCGCGTGCAGTCAGTGGAG